GAATTTGGGTTTAGTTTCCATAGATTTAATATTATCTCGTTGTTTGAGATTGCTTTGAAACTGTCTATGGATACGGCTCGTGGAGAGGGTAAAGAAGCTAATGGATGTGAGAGTAGTAAGGCTATTGTTAGTCTAAAAAGCAGTGAAATTGAAGATCAAATCTCAGAGGAAGAAGAAAGTGAGTCACAATGTTTATTGCCTCCAAGGAAAGGAGGAATGTCGAGGAGTACTGATAAGATTAAGAGGACTGTGCAGTGGAATGATAATAAAGGAGACAATCTTGCTGAGGTTTTAGTTTATGAACCAAGGTAAAGTTGATCCTTTAAGGAACAAAAACTGTATTGTGATTCCGTTCTTGTTTATTTGGTCTGGCTCTGCTGCTTAGATGTTTATGATATTGCAAATGTGGGATCAGTATCGTAATTTAGGTTAATCGTGTGATGTTGGTATTGATTTGGCTTGTTACCAATTGTTTTGGAGTTGCCTTTTTGATCTTCACTTGTGGCCCTTTAGAATTGTTTGACTTCTTGTTGATGTTCATATTGGTGGTAGTTCCTCTATTATAGGTCCAATAGAGTAGCAGTTGAAAACAATTACATTTTCTTACTTTCTGCCTCCATTTTACGCTTGCAGCGAAGTAAGCGATACAGATGACGATGATTCGGATTCCTGCATCTGCACAATTATGTAGTCCTCAAACCTGCAATCAACAACCATTAACAAGGAGTTAACAATGAGCTCGTCCTTGTATCTAATCTTTTCAGCAATCAGTTTTTGTGAGGACAGACGAACCAACTTAAGCGAACCAATTGAGGACTGTCTGATTTTTGTGTTCAGGACTTCTTACAAAAAAGCCGGTCCAAACGAGGGATGTAGACTCCGAAAGCTATAACAGATCGTCTCGTCTCAGTGACAGGAGTGAGTATATAGATTATTTATTGCTGTATTGTTCAATAGAAGGCTGATCTTTCAAACCAAAGATCTTTGAGTGCTGTTTGATTTTATAATAGGTTTTGATCATAAACTACGTATGTCTTTCCGCAACATACACGATTGTTAAATTGTAAGTATATGCAGCAATTTAATCCTGCTTCTTCTTCCAGTAGTTGTACTCCTACTATGATCAAATTTGAGCATAATCAGATGCAAAACTGTTGAAAGATCACAACTTTATCAAGATTCAGTTGAAGAAACAACCAGTGGGAAAAAGAAACCTCGAAACGAAACCGATGCAGACCTCCATATCCCTTACACACAGAAAGAATCAGAAATGGTACAAAGACAAAACAACAAAACACACTTTTTTCTCCTTCTCCTTCTTCACATTTGATCAATCACTATGAAACCTTTTACCTCTTCTCCATATTTGTGATATCCACAATTGGGGATCTCTTCGAAGAAGAACCGTTCCCATGAAAACTCTTTGGTGAAGCCAACCAATTGGAAAGGCTAGTATTGACGATTATCTCCTTCAGTAGCGGCTTTGCTTGATCATCGATGTCCGCTTCAACGTTCTCTTTCATAGTCTGTTTAACTCTCACTGGCTTTGCTTTAACCGCTTTCCACTGCGCAAGACTCTCGACTGGATTCAAAAGAGGAGT